GTGCGTCTTTGACCGGTTACCTATGCCAAACGCTTCTCAAAATGGAAATAATATATAATTTTAGCGAAAAACGTATTTAGCTCAACTTAAGGTTTATTTATTTTTATTATAATTAGAAAGTAATGTATTCAAATATATTAGAAATACAAAGAGTTTCCTTCCCTTCTCGCCTCATTATGAAAATTATCTACTTAGCGTGCCATTTGACGTTACCAAAAGTGGTCTGGAATATAAATTTCATAATGGACATGTTATTATTGGTGGATAGTGAATTGATTATCGCCATCTTTAATGGGTTCTTAGTGTATGTAACATTCATATGCGACATTTCGACAGGAGGGGATGTTACGCTGTCTAGTTGAGTTATTGCTTTGTGATGTCTATTGACAATATGGTATCTCAATCGAACTCATGCCAATTAGTTGGAATATCAGAGAATTAGGATATTGATGGAAGGAAGATGTAATGTCTTTCAATAGGGATGGAAAAGAATCAGCAGATGGATGTCACCTCTAGTAAAATATTCTAGAAATTATTAATGGGAATTTGGCGCAAATGGTTGTGAGCCTTTGCCTTCAAAGTGTTAACGGACCTTAACGTTTGTATTTTGATGCGTAATTGTTCCTTTTTTTTTTTTTTGATAATAATTAAAAAAAACCAACATGTCATCCAATTCCGTTCTCCAGCACATGGCGAGCACGAGAAGCTTATACGCTTTGCTTTGCCTTTTGGCAAGGCAAAACTGACAACTTTTACATTTTTTTTTTTTTTTGTCTTTTGTTAATTTTTTTTTTTATACACAATCATATTTGGTATCGAATGAAATCTAAATTTTAATCTAAATCAAAGTTAACAATTAATTTTAATAACATATTTCATGAAATCCGTAAATGTTTAACTTTTATCAAAATTTATTAAAAATTTGATTTGAATCTCCACCAAACGAGGGCAAAATCAAAATAAATTTGAATTTTGATAATATACTTAAATTTTAAAAATTCTCCAACGATCGTACGCTAATCAAATCTACAAATCACTTATATCATTTCAAAATTTATTTCAAAAACTATATTATGGGCATATCGAATAGTCCAAACAGATATCGAAAATAGTTAAGAATACGTCAAACGTGAGTCTTAAAAAATACATCTAATAATTGGACGTGAAATTTAAAAATTCTCTGACGATCGTACATCTAATAGAATTTACAAATTACTTATGTCATTTCGAAACTTATTTCAAGAATTACATTATGGGCATATCGAATAACCCAAACAAATATTGAAAATAGTTAAGAATACGTCAAACGTGAATCTTAAAAAAGACGTCCAATTATTAGACTTTTTAAGACTCACGTTTGACGTATTTTTAATTATTTTCGATATCTGTTTGGATTATTCGATATACCCATAATATAGTTCTTAAAATAAGTTTTGAAATGATATAAGTGATTTGTAGATTCGATTAGCATACGATCGTCTGGAAATTTTTAAAATTTACGTATATTTTCGAAATTCAAATTTATTTTGATTTTTCCCCCTTTTGGTGGAGATTAAAATCAAATTTTTAGTAAATTTTGATAAAAAATAAACATTTATGGATTTCATGACATATATTATTAAAATTAATTATTATATTTGATTTAAATTAAAATTTAGATTTCATTCGATACCAAACATGATTGTATAAAAAAATTGTAAAAGTTATCAGCTTTGCCTTGCCAAAGGGCAAGGAGTGGCGCGCAGGAAAAGCTTATACACTTTGCCTTGCCTTGGCCAGGCAAGGCTGACAACTTTTATCAAAATTCAAATTTATTTTAATTTTTTCCCCATTTGGTAAAGATTAAAATCAAATTTTTAGTAAAAGTTAAAACATTTATGGATTTCATGAAATATGTTATTAAAATTAATTGTTAACTTTAATTTAAACTAAAATTTAGATTTCATTCGATATAAAAAATGATTGTATAAAAAAAATTAACAAAAGACAAAAAAAAAAAAAAAAATTGTAAAAATTGTCAGCTTTGCGTGTAAGTGCGCAGGGGAATGGAACTGACATGTCATCATATTTAATTGAAGAAACAAAAAAGTAGCTATTCCTTTTAACGGTCGTTAGTCTACTTTAACCGGACTGTTGAATTGATTGAACAACTCAAATTCTCATATATGAAGAGAAGGAATTATTGTACTGAGCAAGAAGCAATTTTGCGATGCACGGAAGAGCCTTCTTTGTCTAGGGGGAGGTCGGGATTCCTGCCAATTAGCTATAGATTTCCTTTATCATCTTTTGACTTATTAATAAGCCAAATTATTGGAGCTTTTTAATCTGGTATATGTGATTCTTGTTAAAGCATATGCTCGAGAATGGTTGCAGAACGGATGATTTTCGATTTTAAAGCGGACTCTTCATCAATTAGATAAAGAAGATCAACCAAGATATTGTCATCTATTCATGATCCATTCCAATTCCAAGAGCTTGAATCCGAGAAATAGGCCAACTTCATTGTTGTTTGTTCAATTCTTCATGGAGTTAATTTTCATTAGTACCTTTTGAATCAAGATAAAAGATAATATTGATTGCAGTTTTCTTAACATATCAAGTCAAGAGGCCATTGCTCCTTGCAACCGGATGTGTTCATGTGAAATCCACAAACGTACGGAATCGTTGACAAGTAATAGATTTGATGAGTTGAGATTATTGTTTCATGGGGAATAAATTCAATTCAAGTTTATTAGTTTTGTATGAAATTTGAAATATGTAAAACAAAAAAGATTTTGATTTTGTGATTGTTCCAAATTGATCTAGTAAAGCGGTAAAAATTGTTTGTGTCAAATTGTGGATGATTGTATTGGATTTCGAATCTACCTATTGCTATCTAATTCAATTCTTGATTTATAATCAAATTTTGTTCATACACTCTTGACAATCGATAAAGTTGTAATATATATTTTTTCCTTTTTAAGACTAATTAAATCTTCATAACCATGACCCGAATATATTCCTAGTCCGAATTCGAATGATTAAAATGCATTAAAATTTAGATTATATTTATGATTGCACATGTGATAAATGTTATTTTTAACATGTATTGCACATATATTAATTTTATCACGATCTAAACTTATTGTGAGTCTCTCAACACGAAAACAATAAACTAATTATCTAATTGATGGCCAATCAATTAAATAATGCAATGGTTTTGCAAAATTAATCAAAAAACACAAGAACTAAACTAAACTGTTAGTTTTGAATTAAAATAAATAACAAATAGGATTCATCTTCATCCAATAAAAAAATGATCTAGCATAGCATGCTAATATATAAATTAAAAGAGGAATAACAAAAAAATCACCTGTATCGTGAAATAATTCAAAAGATGTTGATTTTCAAGTCCATGGTTGAATTTTTCAAAATTTTAATGTGATTGACCTTCAATTCCTTGTTGGGATTTGATCTTCTCTCTTAAAATATTGTAATTGGCCTCTTGTTATTGATAATTTGATGAAAATATTGTGTGTAGAGGCAAAATAGGGTTTTTTCAATGGGTAACCTCATTTTATATTTATAAGAGTCACAAAATACGTCAAAATCGCATTCAATTTGAGTTATAAAAAAGTTTGAATCGCAAAAGGAAACTACTGATTCATTTGCGAAAATGGCTCATGCGCAAGCACAGGCATAACCACTGGGTGTGCGCCATTGAGCCATATTGCTCTCGGATCATGAAATTTGTGTCTCGCGCCATGAATTGCTTGTGCGTCCGCTCCGGTTTTTGCAGTGTCGTCCTTGAGCAGTTTTCTATATTTTGGTTATAACTTTCTCTCCCTATATTCAATTAAGGTGATTCAAAATGCATTGAAAAGATAATTCAAAGGGCAACAATTCTTATATAAAAACAACTTTTCCAATTCGAAATGTTTTTTATCCGAAAAATGAGTTTCAAATTGAGGCTAAAAATTCGAATCATAACTTATTCTACTGGAAATTGATTTGTGACAATACTTCAACTATATTTCACTCGTTTGACATCCAATTGCATCTAGTTGATCCTATGTGATTTTCAATCATCGTTTTGTAGTCCAAATCAACTACTAAATGTTTACACTTTGATTTCCAAACTTTGAATTTCTTTCGTTTTTGCCCTTTTGCGTTCCTTTCTTCCATTCCATCATTTGCATTGAGTTTAAACTAACAAATATAATTAATAAATAATTAAGTTATAATTCATCCAAATCACTAACAAATACTCTAATTTAATGGCCTAAATAAGTGTATCGAATACACTTATCAAGCAAAAAAAGATCGGATAAGCAAGCTCTCCTTTCATTTTTGATTTGGTAGAGATTACAGATTTTGTTTTCCGTGCTACCATTCCTAATGAGGGATGGGATAATGGATATCAGCTCCTCCTCTTTCACCCCGAGTGGGATTGATAATGCCTTTCCTACGTTCGTGTTTGCGAATGAAATCCCTCGAGAAAAGTTAGAACGGCAGTTTCTGCTCATTGAGAGGTCTTCAAAAAAGGAATATCTTATAGTAAATTAATGAAAAATGCTATTTGTACACAAGGGTTGACGTCCCGGTGTACTGACCCCTCACAAGAGAGGGGGCCCACAACCAATAAAAAATATCGTGGGCCCCCTCTCTTGTGAGGTGGTCGGTCAACCCCGATATACAAATAGCATGGTCCTAAATTAATACATAATCTATACAAGAGACAGCCGAAATTTAAATTTAAATTGGGATATCAATAAACTAGTTGAGATTATAGTCTTCAACTCCCAACACACGACACAGAATATATAACACAGGATTACAATCGTTAGAGTGAAGAAAATACTGAATGCATACAAGCTTTTTACATTTAAATCCAAGGACATTAGAGGATCTACTAGAGTTCAAGATCCTAAAAGAAAACAAAATGATTGCCTTAAAGTTAGCTTTTGTACTAGGTTTCTTCGCACCTCAAAACTAGTAGTATCTCCAGGGTGCCAATATAGTTACCCTTTGGTTCTCGTAATTGTAATGCTGCCCTTTCCACCTTCAGTACGAATTTTAGTTTTCCCGACTACAGGCTTCCCAGAAATAGCAGATGTTGGATAAGAAACTGCATGATCTTCATTATTTTCCTCACGTTCTGATGGAGTAAGGATCCTCTGGTTTATGTCTTTCAGAGTCACGTCTCCGTGCATGCCACACGGTTTAATGAAGGCAAATGGATAGACTATAGATGAACCTAATTTAGGAGGAGTCTGCATATATGATTTTCGACCTGATAAATTCAGAAAAGAAAATAGAAATGGACTAGTCAAGGTTGAATATGAATTTTATATGGCACTTTTTTTTTTTAATCATAATTGAAGATAAGGAAAAAGTAAAACGAATACCTTTGAAAACAATGTTTTTGTGAGGGCGAATGGGAAGTTTTTGGACTGCATTAGCTTCGTATTCAGGAGGGGCGTCAAAAAGCTCTGCCGCAGTACATTTTAAATTTTAAGATGTCGAAAAATTAACAATGACAAACATATAATTAGAACTAAAGACTACTTCACATACCTGTGATATCAATCTGAACATCAGATACCCCTGACACACAACTACCGTACAGAATAAGCTAGTCAGCAAAAAAATTCCACAAGAAAATGAGTAAATTGAAACAAGAAATTTAAAAAAAGAACATACATGTCCTCGGAATTATATTGCATCTCCGAATCAATAAAGCAATCAGCAAGCCATCCTTCAGATGACGGGTCCAAGCACTCATTACTGGAATCATACGTGCCTTCTATAGAAGTATGAAGAATTATTAGTCGAAATCCTCTACATAATAATAGATTAGTCCCTATCAATATCAGAAAAGAAAAATTTGCAAGAATGGACCTGTAAATCCGCCAACCCACTGTGACATTTCAGATGAAGCCAATTCAAGAGACTCTGTTGTTTCCTAATCATACAAATAAAAACACGTCTAATTATTATCTATGAACATTCAAGCCTAGTGCTGCTGAACAAACTCTTTTACTCTGGCAAATTCATTATGCTAGACCTGAAATTTCCAAAAGAAAAGAACACCAACCTTTGATCTTAAAAATGCCTCATCGTTGTAAAGAGGTGCATCCAAAACTTCAGACTCGAACTGTAGCATTCGGCGTCTTTTTACTTGTGAAGAAGGTTCCCCTCGTTTCTCCAACTCTTTGTCTGCAATTTCTGCAGTTCATGCAATGAAATGATGACTAACTGTATGAATTCAAAATTTCACATCCCAGTATATTGGAAATATGTTAACGTTAACCTTTGATGCAAATGTGAAGATGTAGTCTTCCACAAAGTCATTTTCAAGAGAAGTGCTAACTTGCAAAACGTACATTCTCATCGGCAAATAACCAAAATGGAAGTGAAAAACAGATAGAAACGACATATGTTCAAGTAATAGCCTACCAAAGCTAGTTACTTGATACGCCACATCTCCACAGGCCTTAACAGGGGTAGTTTCATCGTCAAACATGTAAGAGAGATCTTCATTTTCATTTATTCCATTCATTAGGCATTCAGGTATATCTGCACAACATATAAAGACAAGTTTAAAACGATAACCTCGATTGAACAAACAAATAATGAAGAGTAGATTAAAAACTGCCATAAGACTCACCTAAGCTTGTATTTTCTTCAAGAGAGTAAGTCTGACTTTGCCAGTCCCACATATGACTGTAACAATTTCACACGGAAAATTCGATATGTTAAGCTTAATGTGACTCAAAATTCCAAAGTGACAATATGTTGGAAAGGTGAACTGTCCGCAACACTATTAATGATGCAAAAAAAAAAATTCTAAAATCTCATCTAATACTACTTACCAAACATGCGAAGGTTGAAATTTGGAAGAACAATCACTAAATGGAAAGTGTCCAAAATGCAAATCTTTGAGCAGGATAATAAAGAAACGGTATCGCAGAGAGAATTTGACTCAACAAAATGCAGATCCATCAAAAATTATTAAATAACACAATCTCAAGAACAGAATAACTCTATTAAAGCAGATCAAATCCAGCCATTTAAACAGAGCAGGCATTTTAGCAATAAATTAAGAAACATCCACAAGAAAAATCACAATTTATCTCAAGTTTATTCATCAAATTGAAGCAGAATTAAACGAAACCTGTACGCAAGACACAAAATTAAGCATAACCCATTTGACATATCAACATTTCATCCATAATCCATCAATTTTTTTTTTGTAATGAAGAGTAAAAATAGTCTGCATTTTCCAGAACTTACCCATCAACAAGAATCACAAAAACGTAAGGAGAAAAAAAAAAGGAGAAACAAAACTCCCAATAAATCAAACTTAAAAAACAAAGACAAATCAGTTAAAATTCAAGAAACTGAACTCACTTGTCATTGTTGCAGTCCATTTTCCCTGAGTTTTTCCCTAAATCTTAACTAAACAAGATCAAGCAAAAAAAATGACAGTAGTGTATCATCAAAAATCATAAATATCAATTACAAAGGATTTATATATGCAAGTATATGTGTATGTATCCACTAGTTTTATATAAATAAGTGCAGACGTACACCTATTAATGAAAAATAATAAAAAGACCAGTGGACAGAACTGTCCTATAAATGTGCCAAATCGTGTGCTACTGGGGTGCCTGCCTGGATTTTTACGGGTTGACTGAATTGATGTTCCGGGTTATTTGATGTCGGACCTTCAAACCCGGATTATATATGGTAAATGTATTCTTGCCATGTTTTATTTATAAGGATTTTTTTTTTTCTTTTTTGGAATAAATCCATCACACAAGATGAAATGAACAATAAAATTAGGAGGGACGAGATCGTAGTGTGAATGTCGTCTCGGGTATTTTTTTTCTCTAAATTGAAATTTTTGTGAGTACTTAAAAGCGGAATAAGCCCTCGTTTGATTTACGTTATTATCTCATTAAAATGAAAAATATGACCGTTATCCATCACATCAACATTTAATTCAAATTTTCTGTCTCTTGTGTGGCCCCAATAACGGCTATATTTTTCATTCTCATTCTATAATAATTTGGCTATGTCTCCGTTTGTTTCTCATTTTTCATCCAAAAAAATTAAAAAATATGACTGTTATCCATCACATCAATATTTAAATTCAAATTTTTAATATCTTATGTGAGCCCCAATAACGGCTATATTTTTCATTCTCATTCTACAATAATTTAGCTCGAACTGAGCCTAAATAAAAAAGAAAAATAAATAAATAAAAGTTTGTATTTTGTCCAGTGAATTTCAGAATGTGTTTGGTAGGTGATGGATTGACTTTAAAACCAAAATTGAGGTCAAAAGTACAAAACATAATTTCCAAATTTGGTAGGTATTACTTTCTGAGTAAATTGACATGGAACACAATATACAATGTACATAATATCGCAAGTATATTTTTCTAACGAAGTGTCATAGACAACTTAGAAATAAATAAAGATGGGCTCTTTAATGTTAAGTTGAAAAGAAATTGGAGCAAATCGTTCCTAGAACAGAACTATGAGTACAGAAAAAATCAACAGAAAATACATTTGGACATCAAACTTTAGTTTCAATTGGAATAAAAATTTGAATAGCTAACATTCTTATAATGTTCAAGTAATAAGAGTGTAACTTTGTTCGGTAATTTGCATTGGTTCGTGCTTCCTTTACAAGGATAAGAGTGAATTGTTTTAGAAAATGTCAAATAAAATAAAATAAAAATAAGTAATCTACTAAAATATGCCATCTTCTCTTTTTCTTAGTACACGTGTAACATGTATAGATAAATCATTTTTCATAAAATTAGTCTAAAGATAGTCATCTTGATGTGTTGTTTTGTAGTGCTATTTTTGTTGAAATTGGTATTAACGTTGGGAAATTATTTAATTTGTCATGTTGACCGATATATATAATTAATTGTGTATAAATGCTATCTTAAAATTAAGCTCAAAATCAAAATGGTCTAATAAAAAATTAAGTAACTGAGATTTGGGCATCTAAATTAAGTGTGAGCTGAATTATATGTATAGAAATCAGATCCATTAGGATTTGTATTTAACGATATGCCGAATATATATGAAAACTATATATAGGATTATGGTCCTCAATTCATGTTCAATTTTTTTCATTTTTTATGTCATCCCATCAACACAAGAATTAATAGAAAAAGCATATTGAAAAAGAATATTCAAAACCTACAATCAAGAATTATAATAAAAAATCAAGAAGAATTGGAATAGTTAAATTGAAGAATTTTAAAGATCAAAATTAATATTCAAGATTCATTATTCAAGATACAAAAATGGATCAAGATATGCTCTGCAATAATTAATTTTCTTGATGATTTGACACGGAGATCTTGATAATTCATAATATTTTATAAAGTTTAAGTTTCATGAAATATCTTGAGATGAAAGATATTGGTGACGCCGCTTTTGTATTAGGGATTCAAATATATCGGGATCGTTCTTGGGGTATTCTTGAATTATCATAAGAGAGCTATATCGATACAGTGTTTAAGAGATTTGGGATGCAAGATTGCAAACCAGGTGATACTCTTGTTGCTAAGGGAGACAAATTTAATCTCAATCAATACCCTAAGATTGACCTTGAAGTAAAGGAGTGCAGAAAATTCTCTATGTTTCAACAATTGGGAGTTTAATGTATGTTCAAGCATGCACGCATCCCAATATAGCATCCATTGTTGGAATGATGGGTAGATATTTAAGTAACCCTGAGATTGATAATTGGAAGACAGCCAAGCGGGTTAAGCGGTATTTACAGAGAATAAAAGATTATATGCTCACATACAGGAAATCAGATCAATTGGAGATCATTGGTTATGTTAATTTTGATTTTGCTGGATGTCAAGGCAGTGGGAGATCCACATCGAGCTATGTCTTCCCACTGGCTAGAGGAGCTATATCCTGGAAGAATACTAAGCAGGCTGTAACGGACCTCCCATTCGGCCCTTGAGGTTCCAGGGACCCCCAAGGCAGCCTACCCCACACATGCAGCCGGCAAGCTCACGATACGCAACCTGAACACAACACAAGGATAGAAAGCATGCCATCAATACCTGTTACAGGGACATCGTCAGTGCACTTCCGAGATATATAGCAATAAACCCGCAATAAGCTATCTTGCCTTGCCACATGGGTAGGGGAGTTCTTTAGGTCCGTGACATACTCCCCCACTCAATCCGCTAACGCCCTCGTAGCGGACATGTGCTTCGCGTCCTCCTGCATTGCATCCTCCCTTCAAGTTAGTGGGT